GCTGCGCTTCAGCCGTCGCATTTATTTCGATGTCATTGGAGATCTGTTCAGAGGTGGGCTACTGGCCTGGCGATGTGCCCATCAGGTTCGAGGTGGTATCTCGTTTTTTTTTTTTGTTTGTTGTGGTTGTTGTTGTTGTTGTTGTGGTTGTGGTTGTTGTTGTTGTTGTTGTTGTTGTTGTTGTTGTTGTTGCTGTTTTTTTCCGCGCCGAAGAAGTCGGGCACGCCGCGCCTCGCAGTGGGCTGCGGGCGCGTCAGCGCTCGCTTCCGAGAGCGCCCGCGCGCGCCGATGTCGGGGAGTTCCTGGGCCGACGTCGTGATTGACACGGGCGCTGACATGTGCCCCTCTCTAAGTGGCGTGAAGGATAATTCCTTCGCCTGCGAGCTGCTGCTGAGCTGGAGACGCCTGCGAGCTGCTGCTGAGCTGGAGAGCAGATGGCCGACTCTGGCAGGGGCCGGCGCCGGAGCCGGGGTCGCGAGCACCGGCGGCGGTCGCCCTCTTCCTCCACTGACTCTTCTTCCTCCTCGTCCTCGGATTCGGGGCGGCGCCGGGGCCGCAGGGGCAAGAAGAGCCGGAAGGGCAAGAAATAATCCAAGAAAGATAAAGAAAGGTAAGAAAGACAAAAAAGACAATGAACACAAGAAGCGCAAGAAGGATCATGGGAACAATTCGCCAGAAATCCTTACCCTGAGCGAAAAGTCGGAATTTGCAGAGTTCCGCCGTTCCGCCCGAAGGCAGACATCGAGAAGATCAGGGAGGAGCTCCGCGCGGAGACCGCATTGAAAGCAGGGGCCGACGGCGGCGGCCGCGCGGCCGCCCGCCCCCCAGGCGCCCCGCGGAGGCCGCCAAGATTAGGGCCTGGTCTCGGACCAGTCGAAGATCACGGCCGCTTGCGGGGAGACGAAGGTGCTGGTCGACCGGGGCGTCCGCGACTGGGGGCAGGTTGATAAGCAGCTCAGCTCCCCGGGCGGTGCCCGAGCTCAAGGCGCTCTGCGCCGCCTTGGGCGCCGAGGTGCCCGCAGCCGCCTGGAAGGACGCTGTCGCGAAGGCGGCCGTCGCCGCGCTCCAGGCGGGGGCGCCGCCAACGTGAGCGGGGGAGCTGGCGGCACCTGCTCGGCGCCGTCTTCGCGGTCGGCATCTTCGTCGGCATCGTGGTGGCGCTGCTATGGGGCTCGGCTGGAGGAGACGGGCCGGCGTGGGCCCCGGAGTCTGTCAGACGTGCTGTTGCCTATGCGAGGGCCGTGAAGACGCTGAGCTGGGATGAGCGGTGCGCGTCCGAGTGGCTGCAGTCCCTGTCGGGGATTCCATTTGCCAGTGCGCCACGGGCTCTGGCCACGCTGGCTGGTACGGTCGCCGTTGCGCGCCTCTGCCCGGGAGCCGCGGCCCTGGCCCGGATGCCAGCTCTCGGGGGCCTCTGCTCAGGCGCCGCTAGCTGGGGCCAGCTGCCGCAGGCGGAGTTCTTCGGCGAGCCGCGCCGTGCCCGCAGGCGGGCGCTCGAGCACCGGCCCCGTGAAAGCCGTGACTGAGGGCGAGTCTTCCTGGCGTCAGGCCCCCTCGCTTCCCTCCCCCCCATCGCCTCTATTATGTTCAGCCCCCGCCCCCCCCCCCGCCACGCCTTGCATCGCAGGTGGGGAATTGCAATGCGTTAGTTCATCGAATGGCCTTTGCCGCGCGCGCGGTGTGTCTCCGAGGGGAGCCGGGGTCCTCGTGTGCCGGACGCGGGGCTTAAAAGACGGCCGAGTAGGCCCATGCGCCCCTGGCCCCAGGGCAAGGCATGGACCGAAGGGGCGACCGCGGGGGCAAATGAGCCCCAAGGCAATCCGAGGGGCGCACTGCTGCTCTGCGCGTTTGGGGGGGCCCTCCACACATTCTGACGAGTTCCGGTTTGTAGTGGAGCCACGGCCCCTGGGCACTCCGCCATGCCGTGGCTGATAGTTTTCCGGCGCTCGCGAATGGCCGGGTTCACGAGCTCAATTTGATGTAGATCGACGTTGCAATTTGTAAGTTTTGTCGGGCTGGAGTGGCCGTGCGAGGGAAAAGATGCACGCGCCGTTGCGGCCCGAGCCGGAGGAGAATCCTAGGGTGCGATCGCTGCAGACAGGGCGCTCACCTGTGCGTCCTGGCCCGGCCTCCGGACAGCAACGGCTGAAAGAGAACATCGTCTCGTCTCATTCTCATGTGATTCACGTTGGGCTGGATGGATCAAACCCGTGAGCTTGTGGTGGGGGATCGCCTCGGGGCCAGCCTTGGCCTTGGGGCCCTTGTGCTGGGCAGGCTTCGCGCGCTCGTCGTACTTGTTGTCACGCAGCGCCCCGGGTTGACCCTTCGCCCACCGACGCCCGGTCCGCCGCGCCATGGCCGCCGCTTCTTCTGACGCAGTGTCACCGAAGGCCTTGAGAACTCTCGAGCGCCGGGTGGAGGTGCCGTCGTCGTCGGAGATGCCGGGCACGTCAAACTGCCCGGGGCGCCCCCTCGAGAAATCCATGTCGAAAGAAACGCGGAACGTCCCGTTCGTTGCTTCATCGGCGCGCCCCGTCGAGTCGATGCGCGCCTGCCTTACTCAAGAGGAAAAGGTTCGGGGAGCTCTCCGTGGTCGGGGCTCTCGTCCTCCTCCTCCTCCTGCTTCTCCTCCTCCCCCTCCTCCTCCTCCCCCTCTTCCTCCTCCTCCTCAATGTCCTCCTCCTCCTCCTCTTCCTCCTTTTTCCTGCTCAGATGCCTCGGGGATGCCTGGAGGGATCTCTTGGGAGGTCTTTCGGAGGCCTCTGGGATGCCGTTCTTGGGTGTCCTGGGGGCCCTTCGGGGGTCTCTGGAGGGCCCCTTGGGGCCTGATCTGGGCCTCTTGCGGGCATCCTGTGCTTGTGAGGGCTCCTGGGGGCCTGCCGGCGGTCTCGGGGGCCATCTTGGGGCGAAGGGCGCGACGTGTTGGTTCGTGTTCCCCTTTCGGGCCTCTTTTGGTCCCCTCTTGGAGCTCTATTGGGCCGTCTTCGGGGCCTCTTGGGCCGTCTTGGGGCAGTCTAGGGCGTCTGGGGGTGCTCTTGAGTGCGTCTTGGGACGTCTTGGGGCGATCTTCGGGGCCGTGTTGGCCTTGTTGGAACGTAGGGCGAGAACACTAAAGTAATACAAACACACTTGATATTAGCATGTCGGGCATTTCGGACACAGATACTCAATGATTTTGGCATATCGGGGCCCTTTTGGGGGCCTCTTGGAAACCTCTTGGGGCGTCTTGGGAGCCTCTTCGGCCGTCTTTGGGCCATCTTGGGCGTCTTGGAACACAGTCGGTCTGTCTTGGATGCCTCGTAGACCCCCTTCGGCTCTTCTTGGGACCCTGTTGGCCCGTCCGTTGGTTCCTCTGGCTTCTGGAACAGCAGTGCTAGGAAATCCCAGAAAACGCGGGGCCGACCGTCAGATTTTGGATTTTGGGCTCCCTGCCCTTTTTTTCAAACGGTCCATTACGGAATACGTACAGAGTGCAGAGAACTTTGGAAGCCTGGGGGGCACTCCAGTTCATGCCTCGAGGAACGGTGGTGGTTATATATATATATATATACATAGATCGATAGATATGTATGTCTGTATGTCTGCCTGCCTATATGTATGTATGTATGCATGCATGCATGCATTCATACTCGTATGTATGTATGTATGTATGTATGTATGTATGTATGTATGTATGTATGTATGTATGTATGTATGATTATATTTATACATACATACAAATGTACGTCCAGCCACATATATTTGTATGTGTACGCACACACACACATATATCTATATGCACAAACTGATCTACACATATGTGTATATTCAGTTTTGGCTTCCAGGGGACGTTTGGGGGCCCCTGGACCGGCACAAGATGACAAAAGGGGGAGGGGTCGAGAGCTCCAGGGTCTGGCGATTGAAGCACCCCGCGTTGCCCGAGGTCTGGGCCTTTGCGGGCATTTTCTCGGAGGTGGACGCTCTCAGCGCCTTTCTCCTGGCTCGCCGCCTCGTTCTATCCATCACCTATCCTTTCTGGTTTCCTGGCAGGCGTGTGCAGCCGCAAACGCAACGATGCAGCGCCAAGAACTACTTGGCGCACCCCCCCGACGATATATTCCCCAATCAGAGCTTGCCTCTTCAGGGGTCCTAGCGGATTCATACGGTTAGGTGAGTTGCGTCGGGGATTCGGGCGGCCCGCACGGGTGCCCAGGTGCCCGGGTGCCCAGATGCCCGGGGTGCGTCGGGAATTTTCCCGGGTGCCTGGGTGCCCGGGTGCCCGGGTGCTTTCTAGCCCTATAGCCCTATAGCCCTATAGCCCCATAGCCCCATAGCCCCATAGCCCCATAGCCCCATAGCCCAATAGCCAAATAGCCAAATATAGCCCTATAGCCCTAAAGCCTGTAGCCCTATAGCCTTGTAACCTTATAGCCATATAGCCCTACAGCCATATAGCCCTACAGCCCTATAGCCCTATAGCCCTACAGCTCTATATGCCTATAGCCCTGTAGCCCTAAAGCCCAATAGCCCTACAGCCGTAAAACAACTTCTGATTGGGTTTTCTTCCAGTATCCTGAACTGGTTCCCAAGTGATGGTGCAGAACTGGTGTTCATAGATTCGCGCGCCTTCTCCTGGCTCGCCTTCCCGTTCTCCCCATCCTCCTCGCCATCCTCCGGCGACGTGGCCAGCAGAGATGCCGCCTTCCCTGGGCCCCTTGAGGTTGGTGAAGACGCCCTCTCGGGGGAGCGGCGCTGGGAGACCCCAGGCCGCTCCCTGCCTGGGACGCTGCCCGCTTCTGGCCTCGTCGTCGGTGCCTTGCCTGGATTCTCGAGTTCGCGGTCGTTGGCTCGTGGGGCTGCTTCGTGCGTCGAGTCGTGCGTGCTCCTCTCGCCCGCCTGCTCCGTCCCCTCCCTGCTTCTGTCCCGGCAGGCTCGGACGAGCAGGTGGTGTCCTCACCGTCCTCCCCATTCTCGCCTTTCTCTCCGTTCCCGCCCCGCGGCTTCTCGAGCGCTTTTCCGAGGTGCTGCCATACTTGGAGTACCTGGACTCTTGGATGGCGGACTGGAACACTTACCTCACCGTTGATGATAAGCGCACGCTTTACCGCGATATCGCGCAGTATATGCAGGCGCCTCGAACGACAAACAACTGCACACACATTACGCTACCGAGGAGCCCCACATACTGATTTTATGTCTTGTGTGAACCGCGCTACCACTACCACCGCCGTCATGCTCTCAGGTGCCCCCTGTGGTCGTTGAAAGGAGGGGGAGGACGTGTGGGGGGAGAGGAGGGGTTGAGGAGTCATCTGTGACGGTCATATCCGGCGTCGCCTGGCACTTGGATACGAGAGGTAATACGCAATCCCGCACTAGAGGCTATGCCTGGACGACCCTGGCACGCATAGGGAGACCACCCCCTGCGCACCCCCTCTGGTGTTGAGAAAATGCCACGCCTGCAATGCCTGGACGACCCTGGCACGCGTAGGGAGACCCCCCCCTGCGCATCCCCTCTGGTGTCGAGAAAATGCCACGCCTGCCACGCTCTCCGACCCTGGCACGCATAGACGCCGCGGTGAGAGACCCCCCCCTGCGCACCCTCTCTGGTGCCGAGAAAGTGCCACGCCTGCCGCGCTCTCCGACCCTGGCACGCATAGACGCCGCGGTGAGAGACCACCCCCTGCGCACCCTCTCTGGTGTCGAGAAAGTGCCACGCCTGCCACGCTCTCCGACCCTGGCACGCATAGACGCCGCGGTGAGAGACCACCCCCTGCGCACCCTCTCTGGTGTCGAGAAAGTGCCACGCCTGCCACGCTCTCCGACCCTGGCACGCATAGACGCCGCGGTGAGAGACCACCCCCTGCGCACCCCTCTGGTGTCGAGAAAGTGCCACGCCTGCCACGCTCTCCGACCCTGGCACGCATAGACGCCGCGGTGAGAGACCACCCCCTGCGCACCCCTCTGGTGTCGAGAAAGTGCCACGCCTGCCACGCTCTCCGACCCTGGCACGCATAGACGCCGCGGTGAGAGACCACCCCCTGCGCACCCTCCCTGGTGTCGAGAAAGTGCCACGCCTGCCACGCTCTCCGACCCTGGACGCATAGACGCCGCGGTGAGAGACCACCCCCTGCGCCACCACGCTCTCCGACCCTGGCACGCATAGTCGGTTGCCACGCCTGCCACGCTCTCCGACCCTGCGCATAGACGCCGCATCCACCACCACCCTGCCACGCTCTCCGACCCTGGCACGCACCGCGGTGAGAGACCACCCCCTGCGCACCCTCTCTGGTGTCGAGAAAGTGCCACGCCTGCCACGCTCTCCGACCCTGGCACGCATAGACGCCGCGGTGAGAGACCACCCCCTGCGCACCCCCCCTGGTGTCGAGAAAGTGCCACGCCTGCCACGCTCTCCGACCCTGGCACGCATAGACGCCGCGGTGAGAGACCACCCCCTGCGCACCCTCTCTGGTGTCGAAAAAGTGCCACGCCTGCCACGCTCTCCGACCCTGGCACGCATAAGCCCCGCGGTGAGAGACCACCCCCTGCGCACCCCCCCTGGTGTCGAGAAAGTGCCACGCCTGCCACGCTCCCCGACACTGGCACGCATAGACGCCGCGGTGAAAGACCACCCCCTGCGCACCTTCTCTGGTGTCGAGAAAGTGCCACGCCTGCCACGCTCTCCGACCCTGGCACGCATAGACGCCGCGGTGAGAGACCACCCCCTGCGCACCCCCCCTCGTGTCGAGAAGGTGCCACGCCTGCCACGCTCTCCGACCCTGGCACGCATAGACGCCGCGGTGAGAGACCAAACTGTGCTGAGCAGTGCTGTGAGGAGGAGGGGAGGTGTGAGGTGAGACGCGGGTGCGACGCGGAAGGGAAGAACACCAGTTTCTCACGAATCATGTGGGGAATAACACGAACATCCATGTTTATGCAGTAGCTTCTTTTTTCCAAAGATGGACGGGGAGTTTGGGGAAGAGGGATGGGGGCAGGAGGACGATGAGAACCTTGAGGAGAAGCACGAGGGAAACAGGTGTTTACCCGAGAGTTGAGGCAGCACATGAGTTGTGGCTTTAGTACTCGCTATGACTGATTGAATGCTGTGAAATATGCTTACACCTCGTTGGCGTCAATACTTGACGCCTTCGGCATTTGCAAGCAAGGAATTTGTACCTGGTAGAATCGTGCATGTTTGTTTTCGCTTCGCGTATCCCCGCCAGCCCACCCGGAAACGATGCCCAGGCGAGTTGCTTGATCGCGAACGTGTGGGCGCTTGCAGTGCAACGATCGACAGTTTTGGATAAATTATAATAGACCCTGCATGCATACATATATGTATACCTGCATATACATTTATGCATGTATTAACGTGTAGCGGTGCATATACACATATATATATATATATATATATATATCTTTCACATACATACACTTATCTATGTGCACGCGTAGTGTGCGTATTTGTATAGGTGGCTTCACCTGTCTCGGCAATTTAACACTATGAATACAATATCGTCCCTCCCCTGCAGTTGTCTGGTATACCAGATTTATAACGTCGATGTTCATATGGTCCTTTACAGGCCAACTGTTTTCGGTGTTTCAAAATGGTGATTCCGCTGCAGCGTGGGCCTTCTTCTCGGATTTGCTCCCGTCGTTCAGAATGGCGCTCTCATCCCAGCGCGGACCACTTTTCTGGATCCTAGTCTTCTTGCTTCGTTGTGGTCCCATCATTTACCCTCCGCCTTCCCTGGTCCTCCTGCTCCTTCCACTCCAATTCCTGCTGCTGCTGTTCGTCTCGCCCCAGAGCGGGCCACTTATCTGCATCCGAGTCCGCATTCATCGTTGTCGCCCTTCTCGTTTCCCCTTCGCCGCCTTCCCCCGATCCTTCCGCTCCAGTTCCTGCTGCTGCCGCTCGTCCTCCTCATTTTCCTCCCGCTCATCATCCTGCTCACCCGCCACCTCCTCCTGTGCACGCAGCTCCCACTTCTCCGATGGCGCATGACGCGAAGTGATCTTTCTGTGTGTGAGTCGCAGGTCGGCCATGGCACGCGTCGGCGGAGAGAGAACATCAGCGCCACGGGAAGGGATCGGAGGGAGGGACAGGATGTCAGATGAGGCGCGAGCGCACCCAGCTTGACCCCGTCCCTTCGCCCTCCCCCCCCCCTCCCGCGGGGGCCCCGTGTCCGCCCCCTGGCCTCTTGGGGACCATCTCTGCGCGTCTTTGAGGCCCCGTGGGCCGCCTGCAGGGGATTTTGGGCGTCCTGCGGCCCCCGTGGGGCCGTCTTGGCCGGCCCGTCTGGGGCGCTCCGTGGCCTCTGGAGCAAGGCCGCGCAGGGGGGGGGCGGGGCCCAGGCGTCCTGCGAAGCGCACCGTCACCCGGGGCCGTGGGCCCCCGAGAAAGCACCTACCACACTCAGTGCGAGGAGGCACCTCCTCCTCCTCCTCCTCCTCCTCCTCCTCCTCCTCCTCCTCCTCCTCCTCCCCCTTCTCCCCCTCCTCTCCCTCCTCCTCCTCCTCCCCCTCCTCCTCCTCCTCCCCCTCCCCCTCCTCCCCCTCCTCCTCCTCCTCCTCCTCCTCCTCCTCCTCCTCCTCCTCCTCCTCCTCCTCCTCCTCCCCCTTCTCCTCCGCGAGTATCTACCACACTCAATGCGAGGAGCTCGAAGGGACCTGAAGATACGCCACTCGGTGTGGCGCTTCATTCTTACGGGGGGAGGGTGCCCTGAGTTTCTCTTGGGTTTCGAGGGCTTCGCCATGGAGAGCGCGACGTTCCCGCACCAAGAATCCATGGACGCCCTGGGGTCTCGGGGTTGGGTTTCTTGCGGGAGGCTCCTTTTGGTCGGGCCCCTGCCGTACTCAATGCAAGAAGCTCGAAGGGACCCGAAGGTACTCCTCTCCGTGTGGTCACTCGTCCTGATCGTCACGGCCAGGCTGCATCCTCCGGGCCTCGTGGCTCAATGCGCTTCGCCCTTGGCGTCGTCGTCTTTCGAACGGCAAGGCCCGTCTGCGATCGAAGCCTTTGGTGCCTGCGAGCCGCTTGAGCCGCGTACGCAGCGCTGCGTCATACAGTGGGAACCCATGCCAAAAAAAAGCCTGCCTGCCTCCAGAGCGTCCTGGGTTTCTTGGGTTTCGAGGGCTTCGCGATGTAGAGCGCGACGTTCCCACACCAAGAATCCATGGACGCCCTGGGGTCTCAGGGTTGGGTTTCTTGTGGACGGTTTCTTTGTGGACTGGCCTCCACTGTAAGCCGCGTACGCAGGGCTGGGTCATACCGTCATACCCAGACGCTGTCTTTCGTGAGGCTGGCCCAGAGCAGTGTCTTCTCGGACGACAGGGCCAGTCGTCGATCGGGCCCTCTGGGCATTGTGCTTTGTGCAAGCCCGATCTTGCAGGGGGCTGCGGCATCTGACCCCAACATTCAACCAAGCGGTGACACACTTTTCTGGCAGCACGAGTGATTGCCGCGCCGATCAATGTCCGGCGGATTTCGCGGAGAGTGAGGGAGAGCGAAAGAGAGCGAGAGAGAGAGAGAGAGGAACAGAAAGAGGCGCCAGCGCTGAAGAAGCCCTCCCCGATGGAGAAACGTCTGCAAGGCTATCGTTTCTGACATGGCTCTCCCGCCGGAAGGGCTGCCCGGCAGCGGAAGCCCATCGGCCCAGCATGCGGTGGCGGCCCGTCGAGCGCTCTCGGAGGGGGTCCCCGCTCGTGGCTGCTCTGCGTGCCGCGTTCCCGAGGAGAGCTCGCTCTGAGCTCAAGGCGGGCGCGTCCCCTCACTGGTGAACAAAAAATAGTCAGGGGACGACTTTTTGAGCATTTTTGGTCTGCCTTTCTTGTTTTGTCTAACTTTTTTTTTCGTGAACGCACTCCTCTTCCAAAATCTGCCGGTAGGGGGGCACGCCCGGCCCAGCGCTCAGGCGTTCGTGCTTCTCGTGGCTGGTCTCCGCTCCAGTGTCGTCGGCACCGTGTCGGGAGACTCTTCATGGGGGGGGATCCCATGGTGGGATAGGATCCCAGGGGGGGGATCCCATAGGATCCCCTGGGGATCCCAGGGGGGGCAGGAGGGGATCCCATGGGGGGGATCCCCTCCTGCCCCCCCATGGGATCCCCCCCCATGGAGAGTCTCCCGACTGTGTTGCCAGGCGGTCGGCCGCCTGCGTCATTCTGGGCCCCACCCATCGTTGGGGTTCTTCCCAAAGGGCCTGCGTCCGGGCGCCCAGTTGCCCCATCGAGAGTTCTGAACATGAGGTGTGCTGTTTCACGCCGCATTTCGATTCACGCTGTACTCGCTTCCGTCCCCATTCATGTTGAGTCGGGCTTGTCCTTCTACAGGAGGAATCTCCAAACACAGCACCACAAATATTATGGGGACGATTCTTCTACAATGTTTGATCATTTTTGAATATATGTTTTGACTATTTTTCATTGTTCGTCCAAGATCCGCCTGTAGGGGGACATGCCAGGCCTAACATGAATGGGGCAAGCGGCTCTTCGAGCCGCCCGGTCGGACTTGCTTGCCTGCTCGCTTTGCTCTCGGCCTCGGTGCCGGCGCGGCTGTTGGCTGCGCCTCCCGTGACAGGCCACGCAGACAGCGCTTCGCGTGGCAGGGCGGGCGGTGGCTGCGGGCGCGCGGCGCGCTGCGGCGCCCAGGCTTCTCGCCCTCGCAGGCATCTCAGGAGGGAAGAACACACACACGGACACAATGAGCCGTCGATTCGCAGGAGAACGTGGGGCGATAGGGGCCTCGGGGGGGAAGGCGAGGACCCAGAAAATGCGGGAACGTATGGGGTAATCCTGGGGTGCTCCTGGGGTCTGTGTTGATTTCTTTGTGTGTCGTTGGGCCTCTTGTAGCATTAGGTCGGGCGTGTCCTCCTACAGGTGGATTCTGGACGAGAAATAAAAGATAGTGGAATAATAGTTTCAAATAGTCCAAAATGGTCAAACAATTGTCCCCCGACTATGTTTTTGACTATGTTCGAATATTCGCCCTGTAGAGGGACAGACCCGATGTAGTTGTAGCATTGACCAGCAGCCCTGGCCGCCTCTGCCCCCTCGAGGGCCCGAGCCCACGCTCCTCGGAGCCACGGGGTGCTGGCGCTTCTCGACACCCTCTTCGCTCCTCGCAGCGGTGTTCCTCCTCGAGCAGTGACGAAGCGTCCTGGCGTGCTCGTAGGCTTACCAAAGAATGTTCAGAGAACCTTTTCTGGTCTGCACGAGATGTTCTCAGAACATTTCTGGCTGGGGCTGTTTTGTTTTAACACACCGGGCATATGTTCTAAGAACATTGTTTTTGTTATTGGAACATGCTTGGCTTCTAAGAACATGTCGTGGTACGGGGGCGGCCAAGAGGGGGGTGATGACTAGGAGGGGGTGGATATCATTGCGTGGGCCATGATATTTCCTCAGATTTCATGGCGCCTCTCCTTATTTAATTGTGTCCCTGGCCCCCCCCCCCCCTGGGCCGCGCACATGCCGCCGGCCATGATTTGTGCCGCCCCCCCTTGGACGCCCCCCTCTTGGCGGCGCCCGACCCTTCACAGGCAAGCGTGCGTCTCAAAAAAAACATCACGGCAGGCTTTTAGCCATTTTCTGCCTCCGGGGTGCCTCGCAGGGCCCTGGGACCGTCAAACGGCGACTCGGGATTAAACATCGGACTTGGGGAGAGGGTCGGGGCTTCCAGGAACCCCGTCTTGGGGACAGGGTCGGGTTTTCGGGAACCCCGCATCGAAGAAATTAAGGCATCGCATGTCTTCTCCCTTCCCTCCCCTAGTCTTTGCCTCTGCTGCGTGCCCTTTCATGCCAACCACTGGCCCGCCATTCAGTGTGCGAGGCGCTTGGCAAGCGGGTGGAGCACTTCACCCACCTGAAGAGATACCACGAGTGCTTCCAGGGCGAGGCGTCGCTCACCTTCTCTCCGCGGCCCGCCTCTCTCCGCCCGTGTCCTGCAAGCTGTTCGTCAGGCGGGCACGCCAGCTTCACTGGCAGCTGCCTCTGTCAAGGGGGCCATGTTGAGCGGGTCGCATCATTGAATCGTGTCTGCGCTCACCTCGTTTCCCGTCGTGCAGGCGGCAGTCCCAGCGGTTTGCCCCAGGCTAGTCGGCGCCGATATCTACGCCGTCTGTGGTGTATCCCAGGAGCACCCTCCGATTGTCCATAGCTGGAGAGCAGCATGCCGCGTGTGTTTTATTGCGACGTTTGAGCAACTTCGGGCCCCAGTGGCGTCTTCCAGGATGTAAGTCTGCCGCTGGCCCCCTTGATGGATTCCTGGCTTCACGGCGGTCAGTTGGAAATTTTAGTGGGCCCTCTTGGGACTACCTTGTGGTTTGCGATTGCAGTCTTAGGCAATATTGAGGCATACTGGCGCAATGCTCGGGGAATGTTGGGGCCCCCGTCGGGCCTTGTTGGACCATCTCGGGGCCTCTTGAGGGCATCTTGGTGTAGACGCCGGTCGTTGAAAGTAGGTATTTTTGGATTCCCAGATCCCAATCTACTTTAGCCGCCTTCCCACTTCAAGAGTCGAGTGTTTTCCCTATTCCCTCCTCTTCAGGGGGCGGGCGGAAGCCCGATCTACTTCCAACGCCTTCCTACTTTCTGTTTCTACCCACTTGTTCCGACCCACGGGTGACGTTGGTGTCATCGTGGGGCCATGATGGGGCCCCAGAGGGTCATCTTCAGACCTCTTGGGGCCGTGTCGAGGGACTCTTTACCGTTGTGTGGCTGTGTTTGGGCCTGTTGCAGCCACGTGCGTGCCTTTCACGAGCTTCTCTTGTACACTCAACTCCGTATTCGTCGCAAGAATCGTGGTGAACAATCGGCTTTTTTTCATAGGATGTTTGATATCCTGGGAGTGTTTGTACGTCGGAGCGATTGTAATACGTGCTCGGGATTTCGAGGAGGTGCATCGGGTTACATACCTGAACCCATCACATTTCAATGGTACTGACCTTGCGGGCTGCGTTCAAACACACGTGCTAACCGTGCAAGACATTTGATCTGCGCAGCGTGGAGTCCCCACAGTGGCTGACCGATGGATTCTATTGGCTTGGCAGGTACAGATCGATCGATTCATAGACATATGGGTACGCATGAATGTGCGATTCAACTTCTCCCTCTGGAGGAGGTCATTTTTTCCGAATGGTATCATTGTGGACTCGATCCCGCGTCATTTGTCGTATCCGCCTCTTTCCATGCCCACCCACCGGTCGTACATTCCAACGCCGAGAATCCGTGGCTTTCTTCTTTCCTGATGATTTCCCACCGCTTGTGGCCCATCCTGTACCTGCGCTCCACAGTGTGCCGAGGGTCTGGCGGGCGTCAACAAATTCTATCGGGGAGAGTGTAGCACCGGAACGGTCATCGGCAGACTTCAGAGGGCATGTATTTTCAGGAGACGTGCGCCGATCTCTGCACGGGCGTTGTGCGTTCGTACTGCAGTCGTCCATGGAGGGCTCGTTGTATAATTTGTGGTTCCGGGCAGGCAGCGCGGTCCGGCGGAAGGGGGAGAGGAGGGGAGAAGCAGGCAGACGACGACGAACGCCCAGGCGGGAGGCCAGGGCCAGCGGGGCGGGCGGGCAGGCAGAAAACGGGCCAGGCGGAAACAGCAGGCAGGAAGCAGGAGGAAAGGAAAGGAAGGGAAGCGGAGGGAAGCAGTCGTCCGTGGCGCTTCGGTTCCCCACCTGTGTCCCGAATATTATCTTTGATTGCTTTTGAATCCACATCCTGCAGCAGTGCCCGCGCTTCCATCGAGGACGCCTGCGGCGCATCGCCGCCGCCCCCCTGCCCTGTGGAAGCGCCCGCGCGGCCGCGCGGTGTGGCCACCGCTCGGCCACGCCATCGGACCGTGCTCCCCCGGCCGCTGTGGGAACCCTTCGGGGAGCTCTTGGGGGAGGAAGATCGGGGGTGGAAAAGAGGGGCATGATTTGCACCCCCCCCTCTTGGACACCCCCCTCTTGGCCGCTCCCGAGAAGAAGGAGAGGACGAAACGAAGGAACAAGGAGGTTGGTTGGGAGCTTTTGTCGGGCGGGACGGGAGGGGGGGATGGGGAAAGGGGGGGGTACGAAATCTGCTGCATGCAGCTTAGTTTCGGCCCCGCCGCTGGGCCCATTCCTCGATACATGGGCGCCTCCCGGCGCCAGGAGGCGCTGGGAAAATCAGCTACGTGAGCTGAGTCTCTACCCTACCCTTTGCTATCCCCCCCTTCCGTTTCCCCCGAGTTTGGGGCTCTCTTGGGGCCTCTTGGGGCCTCTTGGGCGCCTCCTGGGAACCTCTTGGTGGCCCCCTTGGGCAGTTTGGGGTCGACTGTTGTGCAATTCGCGCTCGTCTTGGGCGTTCCTGGCCTGTCTGACGCCGCCGGAAGTTGTCGTGTGGGCCTCTCTGGGCCGACTTGGGGCGCTCCAGGGCCGTTTTGGAGGCCACCTTGAGCGTCTTAGAGGTCTCGTGGGCCGTCCTGTGCCCTCTTGGGGCCGTCTTGGGCGCCCCTTGGGCCTTCACGAGCCGAAGAGGAGCAAATGCACAATTCCTTCCACAAGACCAACTGAAAACATTACTTTTGGCATCTTCCGGCCTTCCTGGAAGTTTTCTTGGAGGCCTCTTGGGACGTTTGGAGGGCTCTCTGGGGCCTCTTGTGCCTTTTCGGGCCGTCTTGGGGCTATCTTTGGCCATCTTGGGTGCATCTCAGCTCGTCTTGGAGACATCTTGGGGTCATGTTGGGCTATCGTGGGGCCATCTTAGCCGTCCAGTAGGCATCTTGGAGGCCATCTTGGGCCATCGTGGCCGTCTTGGAGGCTAGTTTTCCAGTTTTTCCTTATCTTCTGTGTCCTTTAAATGTTTCCAGACCTTTTATTGTTCTCAGTGGTGCGCGTGTCGTGCTTTGCGGGAGATATGCACCTCTCCCTGTCTTGTCCCTCCGGCTTTAAGGGAATCGTATTGGGTGGTATTACGATCGGCTTACATAGGATCATCCCGCCACCGTGTGGGCTCAGGTGCCGAGAAGCACGCGCGTCCTACATGCCTGGGCACTTTGTGTTCGCTGTTTGCGGGGAAACATTCCCATCCTCAATTCTACATCCGTCCGTTCTATTACTCATCCCCTGCCTCTCACGTGATGTGCCTCCAACGCGACGGATACTTTCGACTAAATTCGGGCCCCAAACACCGTATGCAGTATCAACACTGCTCAACGCAAAGGAGTCGGAGGGACTTGAGGACACTCCGCTCAGTGCCTTCGCCACCGTGGCGGACATGATCGCAGACGCCTGCGGCGAGTCACTGCTGCCCCCTGCCTTTCTGGGAATGCCGATGTGGCCACATGTTGGACCAAAGCTTGGCCAAACTACTAGACTATGTGTCCCCCCATCCGCTGTGGAAATTATTGGGGGAACATGTGCGCGAGGAAGAGAGGCGAGGCGGAGGAGGACGATGATGAGACGGAGGAGGAGGACGTGAGCGAGGAGAAGGCGGAGCAGAGGAGGAGGATCGTCGAGTTGGTGTCGGTGCAGCACTCGGCGGCGCCCGCACCCCCGCAAGAAACCCGACGTGGTCGGAGCCGCGGAGCCGCAGAGCTTAGCCGTGGAGCTCATCAAGGACCGCCCGGCCGCACCGCCGCTGCTGCTGGTTCGGTGCATTGGCCAAAATGCCATGGCGCTTGCATCGCAGAGCGGATTTCGTCCGGAAAACGACAGGACGGGCCCGGGGGGTCCCGGAGAATTTCGCTCCGGATCTCGAGGTGCATTTCGCGCGGATTTTTTTGTTGGCCAGGAGCGAAGACCAGCAGGGATCCCCGCGAGATTCACTTCGTTTTTCGCGTGCCCTTTTCGGGCAACAATCCACGCAGAAGTCCGCTGCAGCACGCCTGCGAGGCCGGTGCAGCGAAACGTGCGGCATTCACATACAGTCGACCATGACAGTAAGGATGGGGCAACTTTCCAAGGCTACCCATGCATCCTTCGGCATTCTTCAGAGCCCCGAATCATCAGGGGTACCTCGGGTCAGGGCTAACTCGGGTCCCTTTTTCGGGAATCCGAACCCGAGTTACCCCGGACCCGAGTTACCCCGGATAACTCGGGCGCCCAAATTCTGCTGTGCTCCTCGCGGAGAACATCAACATGGCGTCCCAAGGCCCTGCATCCTTACCGCGCATCCTCACTGTCCCGGTCGAATGTACACCGTCGGAGCACCGCGCGGAGTGTTCTTGGCTCGGCGCCCGGCCCCCCTCGGCGTCGCCTGTCCGGCGCCGGTGCGAGGAGTTCGCGCGGAGCTCCGAACATGTCTCGGCGTCACCCCAACATACACCACCCACCAAACCACCCCAACCCAACCCGAAGGCCCAAATTTATCCTCGATTTCCAGTGGGGGGGGGTCGGGGAACGTTGAAAAAACACATGGTATCCGTACCCCCCCAACCCGAAATTCGGGTCAAATTCGGGTCTTCGGGTTGGGTTGGGGTGGTCTGGTAGGTAGTCAAACATACTTGTACTACATGTGCGTCGCCCCCCCGGGGGCGATGCGCGCACCGAGGAATCTTACAGTATATGCCTTGTGGCGTGCGGTCTCTGGCCACGCCGCTCGGGAAACGATGTACAACAGGATGGGTATACCACATGCTTGGGTCGGACGCGCGCCTCCAAGGAGAACACAAAGTACTAGTATGTCTTTGTGCGTCCCAATGTATGTTCATGCATGTGTTCTTCCTCGGTCATCGGCAGGGGACGTGACAGGTTCAAGGTCGCCTGGGTTTTGTCTCGCGCACCTCTCTTCTCCCGGGGCCGTTCAAGCACGTCTGCCAAGCTATAGCGCAATCATGACTTGGCCGATTCGTGCGACATGTTTGGCGAGCTCATGACATAGAAATGCCGTCTCACCGGGTAGATCTCGCAGCACACGAGGGAGAATGACTGACACGCTTGGCCTCCAAACCATCGTAACTCCATGGGAGTTCACGTACATGCTCCACTGGAGTGCCCCTTTGTCGCGCAGAGCTGCTGCATCCCTCACGGTGGCAGCGTTTGCCGCGAAGCTCCTGCTGGGGACTCATCCCTCGTGGGTGCGGCCTCTCCCTCTCTCTCTCTCTCTACGTAGGTCAGGAGGGGAAGAAACACACAGACACAATGAATCGTCGATTCCCAGGAAAATATGGGAAAATATGAGAAGTGTGGGGGGGGAAGACAGAAACCCAGAAAATATTGGAAAATATGGGGGATCCTTTTATTAGTGTGTATTTATTTGTGTGTCCCAGTTCCCCTTCAGTAGAGAGAGAGAGAGAGAGAGAGATAGAGAGGGAGAGAGAGCGAGAGAGTGGATGGGGCCCAAGACGCTGGGAGGTGTGCCAGGCTGGTCCGTCGGGCACCTCGGGGCGCAGCCGGCCTCCGCGGGAGGTGGCCGCCTGCTCCGCGGGCTCGGGCGCAGACGGAGGAGGGCTGCCGCGCCGGCTGGACGCCCTCTCTTAAAACCACACACAGACACAATGAATCGACGATTCCCCAGGAAAGCATGGGAAACTATGGGAAGTGGGGGGGGAGACAAGCACCCA